CAGTAATTCCTGTCTGGATTCAGGAGGGTAAACCGGATCTCTTCCCTTGTCTGTTCCTTGGTGCGTTTTAGGTAATGCTTTTAATAATTCTCATACTATATAGTAATGGAAGGTCTTCTCTGGAAGACTCTTGTCTCCTTGAAATTGGGTAAACAGAAAAATAAAAGGTCACTGTGTGTCTGCTGTTGCATGTCTGTAGGTCCCTTTCTGGAAAACATCAGGACAGCTTTTGCAGATCGCTGAGCGTGTGCAGGGGGAATTGACCTTGGTAGATAACTATATTTTTGAGCACAGGAGATCATATATGATGCCCAGTGCTCAGAAAATTCACCAGCTTTTTAATATGTCAGAACCTTTTTTCCTGCTTTAGTGGTGCAGTGGGTTGTGATTCTAAGTTTCTAAGTGGAAACTTCTTTCTTGTGAGCTGTCCTGTGTATATGTATGTGTACAAAGGTACATAACATAATGATATTCAATATATAATGTGGGTGAGAAACAGTTAAAGGTTCAAAACATGTTCCTCTAGTGCCATGAGAAAAGGAACCCTTTCTCACTTTTGGTTTTTCAGGAGGTTTCAGACCTCCTGCTTTGACACAAAGTTATGTCGGGGAAAGCTGTGGTTTTTGAGCCTCTCCCGAGGGAAAGTTACCTGAGAAAGATAATGTGGAACAGAGAGGGTGATTGGCAAGGAGAAGTGGGTAAATTGAGAGGTGCTAAATGGAGGGTATGGCAAGTAGAGCCTTAAGTGTAGTTGGGAGATTTACGTGAGCTACAAGAAAGAAGATTTCAACCAGAGACTGGAGAGGAAACTGAAATGTCCTGAGCACTCAGAGGAAAGGGTGTTCAGGATGAGGGTGGAAAGCCCCGGGTGAAATGATTGCAGACTCCTCTTGCTGGTGTAGATGGCTACTCAACTTCCCAGTATTACTTACTGTCAATTCAGGATACATTTTTTGATAATCCTATAGCCCTGAGAGGGAAAACACTGCAAATAACCAAGGCAGGGAATTACATGATTCCACACACCTGTGTGTGATTTCTCGTCTGTCCTGTGAGCTGAGTCAAATGTTACACGAAGCTGGGTCCTTCAGGATGGTTGTGTTTTGGTAGCTACCCCCCTGCTCTTAGTTAAGCAGCACACAGTGCCAGTCTGAGCTTCCCTCAGAGTAAACTGCAGTGCTGAGAAGTCTGGAGGAGGCTTTTAGAAAGGATCTACCTGAGATGAACGAGTCAGTTCTGGTTGGCTGGGAGAGGTAAGATTTTTGTTTTGATATATTGCCTGTAGGTGTTATTTTTAGTACAGCCAGAGAAGAGAATGTATTGAGGAATTAGACTTTATCCAGAAGTATTGCTTTCACTTAATTTTAAATTTAGTGTTTGGCCAAAGTAATCCACAACAGAAGTAATTAGGTTGTGGTTTCCATAGTAGTGCAGGTGAGAGATATTAATCAGTTTGTGGGAGCATCTGAGTTATTAACTTGGATACCAGAAGACAATTTTTATGACTTTATGTATGTAGTCATAAATCCTGCAACTATTTAATTTCTTTAATGCACTGAAACTCTCCTCTATTTTCCTAGTATCAGTGGTGGCTTAAAGATGTTAAAATAATTTGGGTTAGGACTGAAATAGCATTCTTATGCATTTATCTTGTTTTTCTCTGAGGAAAACATAATATTTTGATAAATGATACTGCTTTGAAGTTAAAATGTGACTCAAGAATAATGCTGCGAAGATCATGGAGTAGCACTAGATTTGTACCTGCATAGTTAGAGATTCAAAAGTTGAAATTTGAGTAACTTGAGTAGACACAGAACTTTCTGGTGATTCTAAAGTTCCTCTGGCTTAAGATTGTCTTATGACATTAAAATAAGAGTAAAAGGGAAATTCTGATGAAATGGTTGGTGTACAAAACCCATGAGACTAATATATGTTGGGATCTGGAAAAGTTTTCAGCAGCACAGCAGTAGATCACATCAGAATACGTTAATAGCTTTTTGAAAACATAAAATAGTGATGATAATTTGAGAAAAAATTATTTGAAATATTATCTCTGAGAAATTGTGAAAAATAAAGGGGAAGGGGAATAAAATTACATAAGCAGTAACTGAGAAAGCTGAAATATAGAGGAAATCAAGCCAAGTGAAGGAAACCTGGGAAAATTTCAACTGATACCCTTTCTCTTTTTTGCTGAGCAATAAAGCTGTTTATTTTTTAGTTTGAAATAACATATTCTCATATGGCTGTGCAAATGAACTAAATTAATTGATGTGTATGGATAAGACCTTGATACTTTTTGTGGTTCTCATTCCCAAAACAGAAACTTAAAAAAACCTGAAGTGATGGAAAGCAGGTGTTTTCATCAGACACAGAGCATTTTTTTAGCTTTGCCTATAAGCTATACAATCCTGTTAGGGGTTTGTTATTAACCCAAATGGATCTGAGTCCTGTGATTTGGTAGTAAACCATTTAAGCTAATGGTACAGTTTGTCTAGTAGGAGAGATAAATCACAGCTTCTCTCTTGAGATTATAGTAGTGTGTTAGTCACAGCATAATGCTGGTGAATAATTAGCACTAGCAGCACACAGTAAGTTAAAAAAAGACAATTGACAAGTGAATAAATACAGTATTGTACCATATGACATGTGAAAGGGAAGCTTTCTGTATTTCTAGTTTGAAGTTAGCAGCACTCCTAACACTGAGTGATTAATTACCTGAATTGAGTAATAGCTATCTCATGAGAACACACAATATTTATTAACTTATGGTACACCTGAATTCTGTTGTTTCCTTTTACATTAAACATCATTTGAGATTCATTGTAAGAGACAAAGGATTGAACAAACTTATTTGGGCATCGAAAGCTGCAGTAGCACTAGAATATGCTCTGGCAATAGCACAAAGATCAGATGGGCATCTTTTTTTAATGTCCTTCCTGTGAAGTGCCTTCAGGAAGATATCTCACAAGTTCTAATTGCTGAGGGTTGTGTTTTTTTTTGTGGAAGGACATATGGTTATGTGGGGTTTTGTAAGGTGCTGTTCTCACTTCTCCCTGCCAGGGCTAATCAGAAATGGTCAATCCAAGAGCAGCACTTTAACGTGTGGCTGTCGCTCTTTCCGTCTGGCAGAACAGGTCAGTGCACAGAGAGCAGAGCGGAACGTTTCTAACGAAACGGGGTGCACTTGTACTTCTTTAAAAATTGAAGAAGTGGCATGCATTTTGATAATGGGATAATGGAGAGCCCCCACCCCAACCCTCAGCTCTGTTCACCATCATTAGGATGCAGAATATTAAGAGCAGAGCAACTGGGCGTAACAGCCGACGTTCAACATCTGTCGTGCTGGACTCCATTAGTGTTCAATTGCATCCTATTGTTTTTGGATTATTCAACCTCACTTCATTGTCATTGCTTTGGCTAGGGATTAATCAGCTGTTTACAACTACACCAAGTTTGGGAGTCATAGTGAAAACAATTGAGCTATAGTTCTAAATAAATATACAGTATTCAGTCTCTAATGAAAAAAGTTACTAATTTATGAATGCTGGTAACAATTTAATTAAACTTGAAATCAATACAGATAATAAATCATTGTGCGGCAGGGTTTTTTTAATCCCCTTTTATGTACATCATAAAATGATTGTGTGATAGATCCTCTTAGGTTTATGTAGCTATGGTTTTAATAGTACAAGTACAGTAAAAGAAAGATGTTTTGATTATGGGGTGTGGGTGTATATATGGTGGCTTCTCTGTCATTACAATTGATAGCAGAATGGATCTCTTGCTGCCAGCAAGCAGATTTCTGTTTTTCACATTCTCTTTTATTCTCATTACTTATTTAGAAGTGTCTTTTTAGTAATATCTCAAACTCCCATAAAATGCACATATATGCTTTAATATGGTGTATTTAAAAGGGCAGTTTTTGGACTATTTCTATACTTGCATGTCTTTGTGTGTGACCATCACAACCTGTGTATTTTGCAATCATTATTAGATAAACTCATAGCTACATTTCAACTGTTTAAATATATTGCAGTGATTTCATATCAGGGGAATCCATAATCCCCATTTTTCTCAAGCTACTACTCTGACTGCAATGTTATGTACTTTATATAGTATTAAAATTGTGCTTGCTGAAGGGTTTCTAATGGTTTGAGTTCACTTGTTTTGGTACCATATGTGCAAAGCAGTATTCTCAGCTGTATATCATTAAGTTATTTCTCCTGTTTCATTAAAACAGTTATTTCTTCTATCCTCAACACTTCACCAGAATTTTCACGTGCTTTAATCTACAAATACTACAATGCACAGAGATTTTTTTTTTCCCCCTGTGTTGCAACAGATTTATCCTTTGAAAAGATCTTTTGCTTAACTGCCCAGGGTCAGCCAGACACTACTCCAGATGGCAAGTTGTTAGGGCTGGACAGAATGGCTTTGGAAGACTTCTCACCAGATGAAGGCTCTAATGTTCAGATTTTACTGTTCGGGTTTTTTTTTTTTTTCCTCTCTGTAGTTCCCAGGGTGGGAAGGTACTGGGATGGGAGCAGAGTGCCGCCTGCCCACCTGCTGCCACCTGTTTAGCTTTTGCAGTTCCTATAAAGCCTCATCTTGTCAGTACAACACAGTCATTGCTGGCCGGCAGGAGCCAAAGGAGAGATCTCTGTTAGGAACTTACACCTTCAGATGGCAACCATTCACCGTTTCAGAGCACTCTCCTAAACTGAGTCAGAACTTCCCTCATTTGTCATAGTCACTTGGAAGCCTGGTTGGATTAAATGGATCACTTTCTTCAGTAATATACATTTTGAGAAGGGAGACTTCATTGTTTTCTCTCTCTTTGAGATTAAAGAAATTAAAAGAATGAAAACATAAGACATAAAAAATTCTTCTTTCTTTAAACAATAAGAAACATTTTTGGACATTTTCAGAAGAACAAGAAGACTTTTTTTTTTTTTAAAGAAACTAAGAAAAATATTTTGTCGCTGAGATCTGGAAGCAGATTCAAGAGGTATGCAGGCAACTCACAAGAGTGCTTCCCTTACCACTTTCTAGATACCTGTTTTTACAAAGCAATCTTTGCGTGTGTGAAACTGAAGCTGCATCCAACATGAAGACCTGTCAATCCAGTCCCTTGGATTCAGGGGTGGAATCAGAGGTGCAGTGCCGAAGCGGAGCGGGCTGTGCTGTGAAGTGCAGTTCGGAGCGGATGGAGAACGCTGCCAAGAGGAGACTGGCGGCCAACGCGCGGGAGAGACGGCGGATGCAGGGACTGAACACGGCCTTCGATCGCCTCAGGAAAGTGGTCCCGCAGTGGGGCCAGGATAAGAAGCTGTCCAAGTATGAGACCCTGCAGATGGCCCTGAGTTACATCATGGCTCTCACCAGAATCCTTGCTGAGGCAGAAAGGTACAGTACTGAGCGGGACTGGATTAGCTTGCACTGCGAGCACTTCCATCCGGAGAGCTACAACCATTACACGGGCCACAAACTGGGCACGGACAGCGAGCCCTACGCACAGCGAGTATTCAGCTACCACCCTGAACACTTCCAGACAGCTAATTAGAACTTGTGAGCTAAGGGTATGCAGCAGGCCAGATGTGTAATTTAATAATTAGCAAGAGTTAATCTGCTTGATGAAGGTAATATTGCCATTATAATAGCTCATTCTCATTTGCTTCTTATACTAATTTGACGAGTTTGCTTTGAGAACTTCAAAATGCGTTTAAGAAAATTGAATTTATTTAATGCTGATGGAAAGTGTACTTTTAATTTGAAATCTTTCTTACGACTGTTTCCTTGTTCATCTACGTCATTTGACTCTTTCATTAAATAAGTTTTTGGAGGATTTTTTTACTGTGATGAATCATGACAGTATTTCTACAAATCATGGAACAAGTTGACCAATGGTGTGAGTGGAATAACACCAGAAATTAACTTCATTCCATGTTTTTATTTTTATGTCAGCTTTAAACTTATTCTTTGGTTTGTTTTCACATAAATGGCTCCCATGGAAAAAGTTTTATAATGTATCGTTGTTCTAGTCCTGAGAGAACTAACTTTCTTAAACTTTGTAAGTTTGACATTATGGGTTCCAAGGTTGTGTAGGTTTGCTTTAATCCAATTTATGGTGTCTCTTGTATGCTCAAAAAAGAGCTAGTTTCAAGTCATGGAAGGAATGTTTTATTTTTAGTGGTTGTAAAAGCATGTGTGATTATATACCATAAAATGAGAATGCTTGCGTGAAAATAATCTAAACTTCTAGTTTTTTTGTAGACTTTAAATGATTTTATTTTTTAATCCTGTGTTATCTGGAAACAATAACAGATTTTGTAAATCATAAATAAAGTGTTTTCTATGCTATGTCCTCACCATCTACCTGAAATTCCCACTCTAGGAATTACTTACTAGTGAATTTTCTACACCAAATGTTACACTATTTCTGTCATGGTCCTGGCAGCTTAATGTGCAGAAGAACCCTGCTAGCAAATGATACTTGCTTCCCAGTTACAATAAGGAGTGTGGTTTATGTACCCTCTGGAAAACAGCCTTAAAGATAAGAGTTTGGGAAAAAATACTGGAGCAGTTGAGTTCATTTCAGCGCCGGTGATGGGCTGAATGGCCTTTTGTTTGCCTGCTGCTTTCACCTGGGGGGCACTGAGGGGTCTGGGAGAGAAGGCAAAAGAGGAAAGGAGGTTGGGAAGATGAAAAAGGGAGCAGGATGGCTGGGGAAGCAGATGTGTCTGTGGCAGGATGGGCAGTCTGCAGGAGTTCAGCTGCCCATGCCTGTTGTGATGGCAGCAGGGAAGCTCAGGGGTCCTTCTGCTGGGGCTGCTGTGGGGAGCTGTGGGGAGCTCCCGAGACGAGCCCTCCCTGGTGTCCCCACGGCAGAGAAGGAGAAAAGGAGCTGCTGTCCCACAGCAGCTGTTGGTGGGTTTCCAGTAGGGAAGGCTGGCAGGTCCCCTGCTGGCTGCTGCCACGTCTGATATTTTACAATTCTTTCAAACGACAAATTATTAGCTTTGATAGGAGTTATTTTCGACAATTAAGCGGCTTTCAGAACAAACAAAAGCACTCATAGGAACTGAGCCCTGCTTTGGGGGAGAGGGCTGTGCTGCAGGAGCAGTTCCATGTAAAGAGCTGACCTTGCTGCCTGTCCTCTGCCACAGCCCTTACTGACGTCTTGCCCTTGGTCACTGGTGTGAGGCTTGGACCTTTCCTGAGGTGGAGTTGGATGGTTTCTGGAGGGAAAGCTGCTGGGGCACCCCTGTGGAAGAGACACTGTGTATTCTGAGCAACTCTCTCCTTTAAACACTGGCATTCAGCAATGGTTTTTTTAGTATATATTTAGCCTCTCTAAAAGCAATGAATAATTATTAAAATTTGGGCCTCTGCTTTTTATGAGTGACATTAGATCTCTGTCAGCAAATAGAAAGCGGATTCAACCTTGTAGGGATATGAAGGCTTGTTAATCATAGATACAATAGAATTAATTGCTGTCCACCATATAGTCAAGTTAGTACTGTTTGAATATTATCATTAAGTGACAAGTTGATGTATGTAATGAGAATGAATGCAATTCTTAAATCATTAAATGCTGTGCCATTTTAGCCTAATTTATTAGCTGTAAACTTCAGGCAGACACTGTCTGACCTGCACTGCTGGCACAGCACTGGGATTTCCATGCTGAAATGGGAATAGGATACAACTAAATCATGGGATTATATGCCATGGAAAACTTGGATTAGTGAAAGATATCCCAAAGCTGAGGTGGGAAGGAGATCACAGTCCAAAAGGATAGATACCAGAGTAGTGTTCAGGAACAAGACTGTTTGTCTGCTACTGGCATGTGATTTGTTTTTGTGGGACGTGACATTATAGTTTGTAATTCAGGTAAAAGTACTTGACATCCATTTCTCTTCCAAGTTTGTTTCTTCCACACAGCATTGTAATTTACTGTCTGCTGCATATGATGATAGAGTTAAAAACAGATGTAGTTAAAAAATAGATTAGTACACAGTGAATGATTAAATGGTAGTAAGCTCACATAAAGAGGAACAAACCAACACAAACCATAAAATATCTGTGCTCATGTTGCCAAAAATTATTAAGAATTGAAACTGAAGCCCTAAAAAGCACTGTAGTGCAGTATGTAGATTGTGAACCCTTGAAAATCAGGTCATGGTGTCAATCTCTGTTGTTGAGCAGTATAAGATTATCATTCCAATTCTTAGATTTGGTTGTGGTAGTGGGATTTGAATGTTTATCGATAATATTAGTGATATTACTAGTGGGAATTTGTTTTTTAAAATATATTTATATACAATGCTGTAGTATTTTTCTTTCTTGGGAGGGTGCAGTTTTGAGCTGGAAGTTGGGATTTCCAGTTTACTCTAGTACAGAAAGGCAGCAGAGTAAGTCCTTTGTAGTGTCCAGACAGCTGTCTGTCTATTGATGAACTGCCAGAGCTTCTTGGGGAGTGAATTGAGGTGATGAGAGAGTTTTTAATCATTAAAAATTCTTTCAGGAGGCAGTCTGAAAAGCAGATAATATCCATGCTGGCTGTGACTTCTCAAACTCAACAACTATTCAGGAGGTCATTAGTTTCTTTTATAGCTTTCTTTTATAATTACTTCATTGACACTTCATGAAATGTGAACTTAACTGTTTAACTTGGATTTGATTGTTGCTCCCAAATACTTGTTCCCCACTGATTGTTGATGCTTGTCAGATAATGGCTGTGAGCCAGTACCTTCTGTATGGGACTTTATTGCAATGGGCATTTGAAACCCCTCTTCTTAAATAATTATTGTTTCTAATAGGCCTCCAAATGAAGTAAAAGCTCAGCTGCCCAGAGCTGGGTATGTTCTTAGTGCCTGAGTTCTGTCTGCTCATCACTCCTTGTCCCACTGACAAGCAGTGCCAACCTGAAATGCTGAAATTTGTAATATCAGTGCTACCTGTGACACATCTGTCCAGTTATCACTAATTCTAGAACCACATCATTGTGAAAGCATTGGGGATGAGAAATTCTTGCTTCATTAAGTATCTGTTGCATATTGCACACACACCTTTCACTGCTGAAATTCAGCAGGAAATTCTGATGAACTCTTTGTGGGAAAATAACCTCTGTCCTTCTGAAAGGGCTGTCTTTTTGAAGTAGCTCTAGATACTCTGCTTCTGTGATTCTTTGAATTGTACCACCCTGTTCTGCGGTGCTCAGAGTTATTTTTGGAGCTTGGAATTGGATTGACAGTTTTAACTACACTGACTTTTCGGTGGCTGAAAGCAGAATTGGGGGAGCACATTGCCAAAATGTGTGTTAGTAACAAAAATCAGTGGTTTCTTCCTGTCTGAGTATTGAGATCTTGAGCAGATCTCAATATTCAGTTTAGCAGTGGCATGTCTTAAAACTTCCATTCATTCCAATCTTTTAGGCTTCTCTTTTCCATCTCACCATTTGTAAGGTATTTAGGGCACGGTCCCTCTCATAATATACACAGAGGGCAAAATTCAGCTCTTGACTGGAATTCCAAAATAACACCAAGAATTGGTGCTGCTGTACCAATTCCTAAAAGTAAAAAGGGGCCCAACCTCCATTATAGATTTATAAAGTCAACGACATGGCAACTCCTTAGGTATTTCAGTATTTAGCTGACTTTTTCCATCTTGCTAAGAAAACTTTCTTGGTAAAAATCTTTGTGGAAGTCCCTCCTGTGACGTGATTCACCAGGCACACTCCATCTGGGCAAATTTCTGATTTGCCAAAAGAAGGTTTTGCCTTAAGATTGGTACCCTTACATTTGGGATTCCAGTTAAGCAATATGGATGCAGTTTGCTGTGGTTCAGGAGTGAAATTTATCTAGATATTTTAAAACAAGAGTTCGCAGAAAAGCTGCTTTTTCCTCTAAATATGTTCAGCTCTTCTATTTCTAAAAATGTCCAGGGGAAAAAACCCAAATGCACTGAGGATAAATACATGTTTATTCATGGAAGAAGTCCAGTATTTCCTCTACACAGAAATAACAAAAATTGATTTCACCTAGTACTTGTGAACTTATTAAAAAATGCTCAGTATTTTTAACTTTAATTACATTCTGAGAAATAGTGGCTTTCAAAACCCCAAACCAACCCCCTGTTTAACACTTAAACGTATTTCCTACCACAGAGTACATTTTAATATTGTCTGCAAGTTTTTTCCTAATGTTTTCGTTTGTAGAGAAATTAGCATGCCAAATGTATCTTATACAGGATTTGCTTAAAATATCTGCTCATATAACTCCAAGGAATGAGAAGTTAATTTTTGACTGGCTTCCTGCAGCCTGGGGTGCATAGTAATTTTTTTTTCCCTAGAATTTCAGATTATCTTCAGTATTTTTCCATTTCTTTAAACAACCATGTTGCCTGCTACTAACAGACCATGTGATCATAAAGGATGGTAATTTCTGAGCAGAATTCCCACCACTGTAAGTGGAGAACTCCAATTCCCAGCACGTATGGCCCAAGATTTCTTTTTATTATGCAATAGAGGGCTCTTTATAGTGGACTTGAAATATAAAGGCATTAATAAAAACAGCTTGTGTTGCTTGGAGGAAGTGATAAAATGTGCAAGAGCACGTGAAGACCCCTTTGCTTTTGCACTGGTACCCCTGAGAATACTTGTTCTTTCAACCTTTGGTGAAGGGACAGCAAAAGAAAGCAGAATTTGAAACCAAAGGAGACTGATATCAAGAGTTGTTTAAAAAGGCAACAACTTTATTTCACAGCTACTTGCTAGAAGCATGGCTAGTATATAACTTGACAGTACTTTATGATTTTCTTCTGAATAATGTAAAGTCTGATTCCATTAATCAGCTGTCACAGCAAAGTTCTCAGAAAACTTCTTGCATTGTTGCACATTTTCACAATTATTTGAACGTGTGAACGACACAGACTTGTATGCACCTTTGAAGCATTTATTTCAGTTCAGGTGAGATGAAGGGCAGGTGTTTGGTTGTTTTTCTTTCATGTGCACTTGAAATACACTTTAAAACTGACATTAATGTTTTTCTTCCCGGTGAGAATGACTTTGGATCAAAAAAAAAAAAAATCAACTTTAATCAAGAAAAGATATAAACTAGAATTTTAAGGCTCAGAGTGAACATCTTCATATTGGAAATAATAAGGCAATTATCAATGAATCACTTCTCCAGTATTTTTTGCACTATAAATATTTCATTAAGTCTTGTATGTCATTT